TCTCTCTCTCTCTCTCTCTCTCTATCTATCTATCTATCTATCTCTATCTATCTATCTATCTATCTATCTCTATCTATCTCTATCTATCTATCTATCTATCTATCTATCTATCTCGCTCGCTCGCTCTTGTGTGTGTGTGTGCGTGTGTGCCGGCTATATGTCAGTTCCGACTCAGAGTTATGAGTGTACCGTGTTCCCATGTCAGAATTTTCAATATTCACGGGAAGGAATGTCCAAACAAGCTGTTGTCCTTTTTTTTTGTTTTCTCAAAGCCGCCGTCTCTCGTTTCTCTCATGACGAGTATACAGGACCTGAAAGTTTCGGGTTGCCCGTTCTTAGTGGTGCACGTAGTGCGCTTGTATCGTGAGCGATGCAGTCTCCTGTTGGCGGTGAATCTCTGGGAGGTCTGGTGAGGAGGGAGACTAAACTGGAGGGTGGGAGATCCTAGAGAGGGAAGTCCTTGTTGAGAGAATAGTCAGCTGCCGGAGCCAGGATTGATCTGGGCGATCGAGGGAGAAGGCTCTGCAGGAAGAAATGCGGATAAAGAGTTGAGGACATTGAGACTGTTATTATTGTTCATTATGAAGAGTTTGGGTGCATTGAACTGCATCCTCTTTGCTCATGTGCATTTCATTTGCTGCTTCCATTGATGATTGGTTTTATTCACGGCTCTGATGACATGCTTTGAAAGTGATTAAGCTTCTGTTGAGTGGGCCTCTTTCATCCTTCTTCGCTCTCTCCTTTGATGTGTCTGTGTTTTGGCCTGTTCCATCACCCTCTGTCTGATTGAACTGTCTGTTTTGTCTTGCTCCACGCTATGCCTGACTTGCACAAGGGCGAATCTGGTTATATCTTTTGTCATATATGATCTGGTTATATCTTTTGTCACGTATGCCCCGAGTATGCCCCAGTATGGCCCTAAGTTGCCCGTATAAAGCTTCCTCTAATCTATTCAGTTGTAGTATTTCTTTCTTTCTTTCGCTCGTTCGTTCGTTTGTTCGTTCGCTTGTGGGCGCGCTTGCCTGCCCACCCGTACGTACGCCCGTCCGTTCCTTCGTTCCTTGGTTGGTTCATTTGTTCGTTCATTTGTTCGTCCGCTCGTTCGTTCCTTCGTTCCTTCGTCATTCGCTCGCTCCTTCGTTCGTTCATTTCGTCCGTTCACTCGTTCGCGCATTCGCTCATTCGTTCGCTCGCTTTTGTTCGTTTGTTGGTTGGTTGGCTGGTTGGTTGGCTGGTTTGATCTATTTGTTATTTTTAGATGGGATGGTTTATGAAGTATAATACTGCCTGTGCATCTTTTAGGATCACCATTTTTTTTATTTATTCATTTTCATTGTTTAATATGTTTATCCTTTCTGACTCTGTGTGTTTCATCAACTGGCTTGTCACAGGGTGAAGAGGAATCAGAGCTTCCAGAATACATCCTTGCTAGCATGCGGATAATGCACTTGAAGCTGGACTCAGCTACACCTCCCCCACCAGCGAGATGACGTGAGGTGGAAGAAGAGTATGTGTATCTATACAGCAATACAGTCATGTGTTGTCACGTTGACATTGACTTGAGCCTTTTGGGGGAAACTGATGTTTATTTTAGTTTTTCCCCTTTGCGGTATTCACTCCTTCGTGTGGTTTCACTGCCGATCACTGTCCAATGTGGGATCTGGTGGTCTGTCCAACTCTCGTTGTCATCCTGGGTCGTTTCACATTGGCAGCGGTTGTCAATGTTAGATACGCTGAGGAAGGGATGGCTTTCGCCTACTTGGAAGGCTGTTGAAATTCTATTGCACTTCTAGTCCGTGTTAGTTCCGCTGTGTTTCATTGATGAAGATCGTCGTTGTGGGGACTAGAGACGGGTACAAATCCCAACGTCTAGTGAGCAAAGACAGCACGGGCAGCAATTGCATTTTGAGGGATCTGTCATGCCTGCCTTGCAGTACGGACATTAAAAAGCTTTCATGGAATTGCAGACACCTTACCCGTCTTCCCTGCCTTGCGGTACGGACACCAAGAAGCTCTCGTGGAATCGCAGGCGGAGCGTCTGAAAGCGATTAAGGAAACTTAAAGCAGGCATACCTTGTCTGTCTTGCCTCTTAGTAATCGATCCTACAGTCACTCACACACAGTGTATACTTGAATTAAGGGAAGACAATGATGGAAGGATGCCTTGCCTGCACTGTCATACATATCCATCTCCACAGCAGTCCTAGAATGGCTTCCATGTACGGCCATCATCACGGTCAGTGATACCTTCATGAATTGAAAGTGAGATGGTGGGTGGAAGGATCTTTCGCAAATATGTGGATCTGACCACTAACTCCCTTTGTGTGCCTTTGGCAAGGTTGTTCTGAGTAGTCTGTTGGGAGTAAGCCTCGGCTCGTCCTCAACCACTGTGGGAAACGGAATTTCTCCTTGTTCAGTGCTAGTGTTGCAGACGGCTGTTCGTGAAGGCTAGAATCAATACGGACGGCTTCCGCCAAATGTGTAGACCCACACTCCACGCATCCATCACAAAAACTGCATTCATGCCCAATCACAGAACAGACCCAGTTAGGATATGGAAGAAGCTGCAAGCCAAACCTACACTACAATTTCAGTACGTCATTGCATCACCAACCATGCAGCCAACTTTGTTCTTCAGGGGGTAAGCTCTCCAGAACCGCACTGAAGACCTGGGTTTTTGTCGGAATATGTCCTTTTTGGCAGCTTAGGACATGCAAACTGTCAAATGATGCGAAGCCTTTTGAGGATGGCATTTGGATAGCCTGGAGAGTGGAAGTTCTGCTGGATTTGAAGTGTGAGTACAGGAGGCGACAGTCGTTATCTGTGTGTGGCAGGTATAGCAAAGGTAATCTGGATCTGACGTGCGAGTACAGAACGCAACACTATGTTTGGTGGTGTTGTTAATATGCAGTCATGGTGATGCCGTCCTGGGCATCTCATTTCTGTTCTGCAGACTTTCTCCCATTGTCTGCATCGAGGATCAGGAACAAGCTGCAGACCATTTTGTTGAGGGAGGTTCCCCGTCATCTGTGGAGGCCCGCGGAGTGAGCAGCTTTGCTGCACGGATCGCCATGCATTGGCCTGTTCCCATTTTCTGCGTGAGGATTAGGAACAAGCTGCGGACCATTTCGCTGAGTGAGGTTCCCCATCATCTGTGGAGGCCTGTGGAGTGGAGCAGCTTTACTGCACGGATCGCCATGAATTGGAAGCAGCCAGGTGTGTCTTCGTTGGGGACCTCAAGGCTGTTGGCAACCAGGTGAGTGCACACAGCTCGACAATTTATGGTCATGACTTTAGCAACCAGACCCCGATGCAGGCCTAGATTGGTTTGTGTGGGAAGAGGCCCAGGTCCAGCATGCCCCAGCTTTGCAGCCATAGTCCTGTCATGGAGTGAAGGGTGTGTCTTGGCTGGGGAAAAGCTCTTGGCAACCAGGTGAGTGCACACAGCTCGACAATTTATGGTCATGACTTCAGCAACCAGACCCCGATGCAGGCCCAGATTGGTTTGTGTGGGAAGTGGCCCAGGTCCAGCGTCTGGTGCAAAATTTGTCAAACCACAAATACACGTCCCCAGCCTTGCACTCCAAAACTTGTCGCCACAAGAAAACGAGGCTGAAACGTCAAACGCTCGGCCCGCCGTCGATAAATCCGATCGGCGGCCCGGTTTTTGTTTTGCGCCTCCAGAATTTTGAGGTGTCAGACCCGCGGCCCAGGTGCCCGTGTACTGGTGGTTTAAAATGAAGAGAGTCATTGGAGCCGAGTTTTCCGTAGGTCCGATCTTGAAATTTTCGCAGAGAGAACTGTTTGCAGCCCTGCATTGTTTTTTTCCAGAAAAAGACCCCTTGAAGGGCAGCGCATTGTGGTGGAGAAACCGGCTGAAATTCTCACATGAGCGAGATACAAAACACATTGTCAGTAGGACCTGGGTGGAACTCTTCGTGAATATCATTAAGCGCTTCATTCCCGTGAAGTTTGTGGAGAGGCCGATGTGCTGCTGGTGTCCCAGGGAAGCATGCACTGACAATAACGATCAGCTTGTCAGTGTGAAAAGGCAGATTATTGAAAGGCAGCGGAACCTATGAATGTCGAGAGTAGGTAGGCATGAAGAGGGAAAAAGTGCTGTTGTTGTTCCCGCTTCACACGTCGCTTGATTTCTTCTTCTTCTTCTCAATCCCCTGGCTATTGTGTGGTTTCAACTGGCGTAATTGCCCCCGCCACTCAGTACTGCCACCTTTATTATTTACTTGCTGTTAGAATTCAGGCTCAAAACCACCAGTACCTTGGACCATTCTGTGGCACCCTGACAATTTTTCCATCATTTACATTGTGGACCCGACGCAGGCTGCCCGGTACAACCAAAATACGTCCTCCATGTTAACCGGCTGTCCCCGTGAAGGTACTGGTGCTTTAATCTTCGTCTGTCATCTAGGATTCATAGGAGGACTCAAGGGGTATTCTTCATTCAGAAGTTACAGGGCATCCTCTTTGGCGAACGAAGGAGAGCTCGGAGGGGATTTTTACTTCCATTGTTTATTCAATACCAAGTGCTCGACAGCTTTTCAGATGATTTCGGAATTTGAAGCATCAGGCGACTTCCATCGTGTGGCTCATCTTGGGCATTGGACATATAGCAGACAACTCTCTTGGCACTATTGATACGTGCTGGCGCCTCAGCACGATCATGCTGCGAACCTCTGAATCGCAGCTCCTCTTATGAACAACACAAGTCACTGACTGCAAGCTGCAAATGAACTCTCTCTCTCTCTCTCTCTCTCTCTCTCTCTCTCTCTCTCTCTCTCTC